GGCATTCTTTGTGACTGTTACAATAGTGGATTATGTGATAACATGCCAATTTTCATACAAAATGTTTTAAGGCTAGAGTTTTTCAGTTGAGAATTACTTCAGTGAAGGTGACTTCTCTGAAGAAGGTATGTGCCTCAAGGGCTTGTGTTCTAACTGTGACTAAAAAATAATTCAATCCCAAAGAAACTTCCTCTAATCATCTTTATAGTCTGATGACTTTCAAATAAGTTACCACATTGCAGATAAGAAGAAATTTTTATTTCACAAACTGAAGAACTGAAAAGGATGGAGTCGTCGATTTTTTGACAAAAATACACATAACATTTTATTGCATTACAATCTGCATCACACCAGCTAAAAACTACAGATTAGAAATTAAGCTTAAAGTAAATTCATTAATATTTTTTGTTAGTAATTACAGAACTTTTATAATAAGGGTAACATGATTATTTATAATTATAAATGTGTTTTTTAAATAGAGATGTGTCATTGCAGAGATGGGTTAAAACATGACATCTATACTACATAAATTATTTAGTAAAATTATTAATACAGGGTGAAACAGATAGGCAATGAAAGAGAAAATTAGTAAATTCATATACAGTATATCAACATGATTCGAAAATAAATATAAAGCACAGCTCGACACTCATGGAGTAACATTATTAGTAAATCCAGCACGTACAATATAAAAAACCTTTAAAATCAGCCTTCTTTAATACATGGCTGTAATGTTAATTTCAATTAATAATAAAGGGTACTCTTTAATTATTTCAGCATCTTCAAACATTATGTTTTCAAATGAACATCACTGAAGATTAACTAATTCCAAGCATTTTAATGTACACATATTATTAATTAATAAAGAAACATGTCTGAAATTAACATTTGTCCTTGGTTAATGAAAATATAAAACATTAACAAGTATTTTTCTTACTGAAATAGTTTATTTGGAAAAAATGTTCAAAATTTTAAGTCTTAATTTTTTTTTTTTTTTAAATATGCTCCCATTCATTTCCAGCAAACATCTCATTCCCATTTATACTAATATAATTTGAAATACTACGTCTTTCATTAGAAAATTCAATCATTTTTTTGAGAGTATTTCAAGTAATTTTTTTTATTTAAAAAATAATAAATCAGATTTTCATTAACTCCCTTTATTTCTAGTTTACTTAAGCAATTTTAACTTACAAGATAAAATTTAAATGCACTATCGGTTGCATACAAGTTGTGGCTTGGTTTGTATATTTATTTTGATGGCATTAATTTTTACTTCCTTGTACTGATAACGTAAAAAGGGAGTATTGTAATCGCGAAAAATTTTAGCTATATTTTGACAGCTATTGAATGCAATTTAACGATGTTTTTGCGTGACATTTGTACGTAAGGACAGAGTCAAGAACTCTTTCCTCCCCCCCAAAAATTATAAAACTGATTTAACATGAATTCTGAAGGGAACTTTTCATGGCATTTGTCCTTACATACATTGCAATCGGCCCACCAAAAGCATATAAATGTATGTATAAATATAATCACTCTGTTACTCGGCTCGGTAATCTCAGTTTCTTTATATGTTTGTAAATTGTGCATTTTTTGTTTTAAAAATGATTGAATTATGTTGTTCTTACCTTCCGGTTAAGGTTTTTATGACTTTAGTAAATCTACATGCAATATTTTCTGAATTATCAACAATTTAAAAGTTGTTTAAGTGACGCTAGGCCTAATTATTTTTGCCATTGCAGCCATGTTTGTTTACATTTGAAAGAGCAGAATAGTAGATCTGTTGCTAATCTAGAGAAAGTAAGCTTCGCAAAAAAAATGATAATGCCTTCTTTTATTATTGCAAATTATATCACGCTTAATCCATTCTGGAATTTATTTGAGGAAATGTGTTTAAGATTTACTTCATAATTTTTAATACAGATATTTTGAGTTTTTATGTATTTTTGCCTTGTCACGAAGTGAAAACTCAATTAATTGAATGAAAAATACTGAATCGTCTCTGAAAACCTTTTTTTGTTGTTGTTGTTATTTGCTTAATTTCTTTTATACATTTTTAGATTTATTATAGTATTTGAATAGAACATGTGGCAACGATTAGATAATTCTTACGATGATATACATTTTTGTGCATTCTCAGTTAAAAAAATGAATGAAATGAAACACTGTTAAGTGAACCTTGGACCCGAGTGTCACTATGGTAAACAAATACAGTGAATTTTAAAGAGTGCATTTATTCTATTGTGGTTTATGCGCTATCAACGAAGTAAATGAAATGCAAGAAAAAATGCCTATAATTTAATATTCCATCCAAGGAAGTCGTGTGGTGTACACACCAGATTTTTTTTACTGATAACAGTAAAAAATTTCACTCTACCTTCTCTTCAATTTTGAATCATACATTGTGTAAAAATCGATAACTTGTATGCGAGTTATATTAATCCCCTATTTTGTTACTTTTTTTTGAGTAACAAAATATAATAACTATGTTAAAAATAACTCTGCATTTAATTAAAATGAAGGTTAACAATAATTTTCTAAAAATCACTACTTTTAATACATTATTTATTTAAAAATCAGCAGAAATAATTTTAGAATTTTAAACCAGTATTATACTAATAAAATCAGCATGAATTCTAGAAATGACCTTTAAAAAATATCCCAGATATAGATTTCACTGATTTTGCTTAAAAGAATTGGCTGCTTGGCATCCATTTTAAGTCTCTTGTAGCAATCAATATAAAAGTAAAGTGCAATTCGCTTTACATGAAACCTTTTGAAACATTCTAAATTCAGTACTCAGCAAGAGACTTACAAGAAGAAAAATTATACTTTTCACTCTAACAATTATGATTAAAAAAATTAATTCTATAGTAAATAATACGGGATTTCATATTATGCTTTACCCGGCATCATGTTGATTTACATTCAAATGGTATTTTATCTGTTGCTATAACTACCTATTAAAAATGTAAAGTTAATCATAAACAGATTGAAAACAAATTAAATTTTTTTATTACAAGCAGGTGCAGTGGCGTAGCTAGGGTGAGGCAAGGGGGGGGACACCTGTCCCCGGGCGCAGCATCCAGGGGTGCCAAATTGATGTTACGAAATTTTAAAATGAAATTGTCTTCATTCTTGGCACATAGAAAGGGGTGAAAGATCTTTAGTTGTTCCCAGGCGCTATGCTTCTGAGCGGGTGCGATTGTCTGACAACCTTTTGGAGGAATTATAACAATGAAATTTGTAAAGATTTTAGAACTCAAATTGGCTTTATCGAGGCCACCCAGGGAGAATCTGATGCTTTGGAACAAAGGCGAGATTATCTAATTTTACCTCCTCCCTATTGCCTCTAGAATTTTTGAATTTGAATATAAATCTTGTTTACACAGTCTTACATACATAACATGATTTTGTATTAGATTTTGCTTTCACAACATGTGTGATTTTATTTTATGTAATGATCGCACATAATGCTGTTGTATATACTTCTGCATTTACGTTTTGTGCATTGTTTACTTCATTTTGTACTTTTCTCTTTTGCTTATTGTTTTTTATATATACTGTTAATGTAAATTCCCAAAAATGTTTAAGTAGTAAAAACATTTATTTTTCATATAATGAAAATTCTTAGGAAACCATTCACTCTTAAAATAACAAAACTGGTCTTCCAATAAAAATTTACTGCTGCCATTCACCTCCTCATAAATACACAGCATTAAATCATAAAAACTAATAAAAAAATGAAAGAAATAATGTTTACAAAGTCTCTTGAATTACAGAGAATGAGTTCCTTTAATTCCAATAGTTTCCCGGTATAAATGAGTTAAAACCCTGAAAATGACTGTAAGTTCCCGAAGAAGTATCATTCATTGTTGACCTACGTGTAGCAGTAGTGAAACCTGATGAAATATTAGATTGATCCTCGGATAAAGATAATCCAGGAATTGAAGTAGATGATGAAGGTCCAAATAAGGAATAAGTACTACATGTTTCAGGTGGAGGTAAAGAAGGACTTTTAGGTGATTTTAAAGTTGACTGAGAATAGCGTCCATCACCCACACAACCAACAGATCTATCTGAATTTGATACATCTTTGTGAGCTGAAAATGTATTCTGAAGGTTGGTTGAATTATTTCTCTGTATTTGATTCAATATATCCTTCCAACCTGGAATGGCAGCTGCGGGGTTTGACTTCAGAAGTTCAGACACACTCTAAAAAAATTAATAATATTCATATATATCATTATAAATATATGAAATTATAATATACTCAAAATTACATATTCAAGCACTGTTTATTTTTTCTTTTAAGTTTTACTGAATAAACAGATAATAATATGCAATGGCTGTAAAACATTTTCTAAGAGATAAACTACGATTTCACCATATTTAGACTTAAAAAAAGGGTGGGGGCAATTTAAAATAACTTAGCACTATTTTGAGATTTAAAAAATTAGAATTTTAAAAGTAAAAAATAGCAATTTCAATTTAAAACTGCATTCTATAATATGCACATATACACTCTTTTGAAAAAAAATCGAAGCACCAAGAAGGACTTTTGCGATCATGATGAAATTTGGTATGCAAAATCATCTTGATCGAACATGCAAATGGTCAAAGTTTCAAGGCAAATAAACAGAAATTGTGATTATAGCGCTCATTTCTAGTGTGCAATTTGCAAAGTATAGAACCAGGAACAGAGGCGGAAAATTTATCTCTTTTTGTTGCTGCCATAGTAATTCTGTAAAGGAGCTACTAAAGATGCCATTGCGACAATATTGAAGATACAATAACACGCCAAACAAATATTAATTTATAAGTCAAACAACAAAAATCAGTCCTGTGAAAATTTGAAAATATAATGCTGATTTTTGTTGTTTGACTTCTAAATTAATATTGAAGATCTTATAGACAACTGAACGGCTTTGAACGTGGTCGCATTGTAGGGTTGCATGAAGCTGGGTGATCATACCGAGCAATAGGCTGCCATCTGCAGCATATAAGCACTGCTGTGCAAAGATGTTGGCAGCAATGGTTGCTATAAGGATATTGCTGACAAAATGAAGGCTCTGGAAGTCCAAGGATTACAAATATGAGGCAAGATAGGATGACTGTTCGCCAGGCCCGAATGAATGCCAGGCAGAATGTGTCGCAGGATGACATTAGAAACCTCTACCACTCCTTGCCTCACCGAATTCAAGCATGCATTGCCGGCAGGGGCGGTTTGACCAACTACTAATTTGAACACCCAATGGGTGATTGTGAGCCGTGACCAGGTACTACGACGTTGATTTTTTAATCATTTTATTATCTGTGTATGAACTATACACATATTCAGTTTCATCAAAAAATATCCACTTCCTTCATGGTGCTTCGATTTTTTTGCAAAAGAGTGCATATCTAGCAAATATAAAAGATCAAATCAAAAGTTCATAGTCAAATGAAGTATATATTTGAATCCATTTATCAACAGGATAAATGCAGATAGTTTATTTTTATATATTATTTATCTTGCACTTTTGCATTTTATATATACAGCTGGCACTGCTTGAATGCTTAATGTATCATGCTTGTTCAAGGCTATTTTGATAACAATAAGAGATATGAAAAATATCCTTCAAATTAGCAATGATTTATGGAATTTATCTAATTTAATATAACTATAAATATATAAATACTTAATTTTACAGCTTTTTAATTAGGGAAAGAAATCATTTATAATTAATTGCCTCCAACTGTTTGCAAAGTTTTATGTAATTCCCCGATATCATTATCATCATCCTCTTCATAAAGTTTATGACATGCTGTGCATGGATTTGTTTCAGAAAATGGAAAGCAAATATCTTCTTCTATCAATGATGCAACAACATGAGTTTTCAGGAGGCTTTCAAACGCCATGCTGCCACATTTACAGAAGTACTCCAAACTGACTGATATAAATTCACTTTATAATGCATAATTTGTATTACTGAACTATTTACAGTCAAAAGTCGTTAATCCGGACTCGTCGGGACTTCGGCGAATCCGGATTATAGATCATCAGTTTAAATCTCGTAAAATGGCATGCAGAAATTCTAAAATTAAAAATATGAAACCGTAATTCATGAAATAAAGAACAATTATGATCTAAAGGGTATCAAAATTTACAAAAAAAAAAAAAAAAAAAAAAAAAAAAAAAAAAAAAAAAAGCTTAATATTTATTTGTTTACTTTATTAAACATTTCTTTCAATGTAAGTTGTTTAAGTTGCTTCGTTTTATGTGATAATACTTTCTCTTTAATTCTATAAACAGACATAATTTCTTGTTCAGTTACAAAGTTCTGCTGTTCAAGTCCCGTTAATTTCTTTGCCGAGAATACCGACTAACTTGTCAATCGAAATTTTTTCGTTTTCACTAACCTCTCTGTCACATTCTTCATGTCTTTATCCAATTTTTGCAGCAATTCCCCTTTTTGTTTGATGGACATCGAAACATACTTTCGTTTTGTACGATCCTTTGGGAGCTCCAGAATCGGAAATTCTATTTGACATAATCGAAAGTTCAAGTTTACTTTTATAATATTGCTCTTACAGTCTGAAAAAAAAATAACAAGCTGGATCCAATTCGAAGATTAAGGAACGCAATCATCAACATTAACTGAAATAGATAATTAGATAATTTTAGCTTATACCGTCCGTTATACATAAAACGCACACGCGAAAACGTAGTCTGCGCTTGCGCACACGCATATGCGCAGTCGTAAAAGGTCTTACGTGCACGCGTAAACACCTATGCGCGTGTGTCAACGCAGCGCATGCGCAGAAAGTTTTTAGCTTTGAGGTCCGGATTATAGATCATTCCGGATTATGGGCGTCCGAATTAACGACTTTTGACTGTATATTATGATTCTGTTGTAAAACATATTAATATTTAATTAGCTAAAATAATGTTCATTTTGTTACTTATTACAATCTTTTTATTCTAAGAAGTTCATGAGTAGAAAAAGAAAGCTTTTATTTATCCAAGTGCTTTTGAATACAATGAATATAAAATTGATAATTAACATGCATAGTATTGTATGAATAAATTTAATAATGTATCACTTACTGATGTAAAACAGAACAAATATTAATTAATTAAACAGTGTTCAGTCTTCATAAAAGTCTACAATCGTCAACAGTAGATTAAGAGAATTCAAATAATAAATAAATAAAAATCAGCTTTAAAAAAAAAAAAAAAAAAAAACACTATGTTGAAAATTACCAAGGATGGGGGGAATGGAATTAGCATAATTCAAGTTTCATTAAATAAATCAATTTCATCTATTGGTTGGAAACATTTTCTTTTAAGAAGGCTAAAAATTCAGAACAAGGAGACTAGATGACCCACTAAGAGATATGATGAAAAACCGGAAGATATGGCATCTATGCATAAGTTTATTAATTAAATAGTAATGTTAAAGAAAAGATATAAAGTATTTTCTAGAATAATAATAGACTTAAATATTGCATAAAACTTTAACTGTAATTCAAGGTATTTTTTTTTTACACATGAATATATTTCAGTATTGTAAAAAATAAATTACCATATTTTTTCCAGTATTTTTTTCCTACGTAAGTTTATCTCAAAGTTGCAGTTTTTCCAAACTTCATCGTGCTAATACATGCTTGATTAACACAAAGACAGACTGGGGTTTTAAGCAAAATGTCTTTTCAAGTACCTCAAAAGTGCATTTGCCCCATTTTTATGAGGGTGAAAAATTGGGGGATCTCCTGAACCTAAAGCATGTGCTTAACCCCTTAACTGCCGCGGGTGTATATATACGCCTTGCTCAGCCGATGCGTTAACTGCCCCAGATGCGCAGCCGATGCGTTAACTTTGCGAATAATTTTAGGTGTAGCAGCGCAAAGCAAATGATAGCAGTTTGGAAGGACGTATATATACGCCTGGGGCAGTTAACGCATCGGCTGAGCAAGGCGTATATATACACCCACGGCAGTTAAGGGGTTAAAGCTACACGATTCACTTGGTAAGGTCTTACAAAAAGAATATTTCACAGTTATGAATACTGATTTTCTTTATTAATAATCTATCTCATACAGAATAGTATATTTCAAAACAGTCTAGAACAATGGTTCTCATTATTTTGACTAATGTGTACCATCCAAACAAAAACTGAAAAACTTTAGTATCACCACTACATTTTACAATGGATATTTTTCAATTTCACAAAAAAATATTAAAACAAAATACATTTTGCTATTGGCTATATTAAATGAGCATACATAAAAAATATTAAATTAAAAATTGGTTACCATTTTAATTATCAAAATTTAAGTTATAATACTCTAAATTCTAAAATTTAGTGTAAAATTTGGGCTTGTTTAAGAGAGATCAAGTTCTTTATGTCTGGTCTTATTTCATTTAATTTACGCAGTAAATTAGAATCCAATTCTAATTTTGTTCTGTATTTCTTTTTCAAATAAAACATGGAAGAAAATACTTGTTCATACAAATACGCTGTGCAAAAGGCAATAAAAATTCAACGGCTTTATTTGAAACGTCTTTAAATTCTTTTTTTAGGTTCAGCTTCAAGTTAGCAAGTGTGTTATTTTTAAAATCTTCAGTTCACCACAGGAAATTTCGATCAATTTTTCTTTTTCTTCAAGCGATATTTTAATTTAATATTTAAAAATAATTTGTTTCCTTGCATACCACCTATTTTTCTCTTGCGTATTACTGGTTGAGAATCACTGATCTAGAATATCTAATCGCTCAAAGAATTGCTTGCATTTCTATACAGTTTCAGTACATTTTTTAGCTTATATGGGTGGGATATTTCTTCAAAAATACTTGCATTGGTTTGTAAATGATGTAATATGTTACTAAGAGCCACCCTCTCATGTTCTGGATAATCAAGAATACAAATAATTTATAAAATCAAGAACAGTTTTATACTTTATAACAAAACGCAGCTGACAGCTAAAAATTTTTTTGAAAATGGTTATTTTTTACTTTATGCTATACCTATTTTGTTACATAACAAAACATACACATTAAAAAGTGAAACATTCATTAAGTAATTTCCCCCCCCACTTTTTACACATTTTCTCATCAGTGAAAAAGAAGATAATAATTACATTGTACACTGCACACACATTCATGATAACACTGCTCACTCCATATCATTTTGAAATGCCACCATCCTCCTGGAGTCAAGTTATGCTACTAAATGCAATGAACCTCCAAAGTATATTTTAATAATTTGGTAATTCATTGAAAATATCCAAGCCACACCTGCTAGTGGTGGCATGTCTGTTGGAAACTACCTTTCAGGAAATAAGAGCCATTACTTAAGGTGAAGTCTCAAAAGTGCCATAATTCTCTTCTGGCATGCCAGATTCACCAATTAAACACATATAAGAATGTTACAACACCAGTGACCGCTTCTCAAGGTGGTGGCAATACAAAGGCGCAATTACAGCCACATATTAATTAATATGTTACAGATTATCTAACAGTTACTCTGCAGGGAAAAATTAGGCATATGTCTATGTGAATTCAAATATCCTGATACACTGTCGTCAGAGGCTAATAACAGTTCTGAACTTATGGAGATATTTTCATTACTGTGAAAAAATATTGCTGATTTCAAAATTGGACTGGACAGAAGCTACAAATGGATCTTCAGCTAATATACAATTGAAATTAACACAGAATTTGAATCCTGATCATGAAAAATACATAAATAGTTCACTAATTTGTGAGAAAAAAAAAAAAAAAAAAAACAAAAACAAAAAAAAAAAAAAAAAAAAAAAAAAAAAAACAGAGACAACAGTAATTAAAGTCTTTTTATCACATTTTAACTCATTGACTTTATTTCTAAATGCCATATGGGAATAATAAAACATCCTTACTGAAAAATTTAACACTGAGCTTACTGAAAAAATTCACACTGCAACACTGAGTGGTGCAAATTCATTTTATTTCAAAATGCTCTCAATATTCTGGATTCTAATATATACATAGATATACTTACTTGTTGCAAATCTGGTCCGAGTTCATCCAATTGTCTTGACAATATAATAGCTTGAATTTGCTCATTCAGTCTTGTTAGTGCTTTCAGTTCTTCTTTAGTTTCTATGGATATTGTTTCCTAGCAGAAGATAAAAATCATTTTTTACAGTAAAATTTATGGAGGAAAGGTATTTTAAAATAAAAACAGAAATTAAATTAATTTCCAAAATACATAGATACAATCAAACTCCAAACACAAACTCACTAGCTTTAACAGCTAGTCAGGAAGAAATGAAAGTAACTGTTAAATTAAAAATTAATTTAAATTCAATTTGAAACAAAATACATAATACAAAGTATAAAAAATTTATTTCGACTTGCTAATTAACTAGCATGTCTGTATTTTAAACACACATAATACAGATCTAATTTTAATAAATTTTTAATGCAGTCCTTAATATTACATTTTAAAGTAATATAAGAAACTTATTTATAGTAATGAAAACATTAAAAAATCAATAAGTCTACCTAAGAGGTCATCCAAGTGTTTCTACTTCTTCCCCCCTCCCACATAATATAAATTCACTGGCCTCAGCAGATGTTGGTTAATTTTGCTTTCCACATTCCATGATCATTCCCAGAATGAGACAACACATAATGTTTCCAACACTTTCTGACTCACAAAGTTTCAACTTTTGAATCACAGTTTAAGTAATCTTTAATATTTTCCAACAGTATTATAAAAATGCAATTAATTCAGCTTCCAACACCTCATCCTGTTCTTAAACTGCAATAAAATTTGCTTTCAAAATTATAAATCTACTTCATTTTATATTATACAGCAGCATTCACTGCTGCCTTTTAAACATGAATTACTGCTCCAAAAATGAGTTAGACCATCTGTTATATCATTAATATCTTATAGAGACTTTTTAATTCAAAAGATGTTTTTTTTTATCAATTTTAAATATTATAACTTCACTTTTGGAATCACATGATTCTGTGTCTACTTTCTATTTGTCATAAATTTGTTTACTCGTTTCAGACTCATAAATTTCATATTTTAAATCACAATTTATATGAACTTATAAAATTCCTCTTTGTGGCAGCATTCTACGAGGGGTGACCCAAAAAAAAGTTTACAAGGCAAATGAAAAAGTATTTATTAACAATAGAAACAAGATACAAATGGGAATCAAGAGACACATCTGGCCTTCACTTTTCCACATAGTCGCCAAACCTGTTTAGGCATTTGTCAGAACGTGTTCGACCAACTTGTTTATCCCTGTCTTGTTAGTAATCGGGGCCCTGTTTCATTGAGCCATTTCTCGGCAGCTGTTTTCACTGCATCGTGTCTGAGGTGAACCTGTGTTCCGGATAAGTATCGCTTCAATGCTGGAAAAATGAAAAATAGTCACTTGGAGCCGTTAAATCGGGGCTTTATGGGGGGTGAGGGGTTGGTGATTTCAGACCTCCCACTTGAACCTTTGCAGCAATTCCTGAGTCTGGTGAGCTGTATGGGGCCTGGCATTGTCATGCAGAAGAATGACGCCTTTGCTCAGTAATCCAGGCCGTTTGCGGCAGACGGCTTTACACAATTTCGTTAAGGTGGCACAATAACGATCGGCCTTAATGGTATGGCCACACTCCAAATACTCAATTAGAATAACACCAGTCGTATCCCAGAAAATGGTTGCCATCACTTTACCGGCAGAGGGTGTGACCTTAAACGTCTTCCTCGTTGGTGATCCAGCGTGTTTCCACTCCATCGTGGCTCTTTTGGAAGTGGGGGTGAAGTGATGAAGCCATGTTTCATCACCGGTAACGATGCGATCAATGAAGTGTTGGCGGTATGAATGGTATTACTGAAGAAATGTGAGGCTGCACATCATTCGAGTGGCCTTATGCTCCGCAGACAATGCACGTGGAACCCAGCGGGCACAAACTTTGGAATATTGCAACACATCGGTTATGATACGCTGAACGTTACCATAACTCAGGTCCAACTCTGAGGCAATCTCACGCAAGGTTACTCGTCGATCCCTTTGGATGATTTCTTCAACACATGCCGTGTTGATATCCGTCCTTGAAGAACTTGGACATATTGCAGTTTTCCACATGCTCCCTGCCCGCTTGATAAGAACAACACCATTTCGCTACCTGTTGTCTACTCATTGCTTTGTCCCCGTATACCTCAACAATTTGTCTGTGAATTTCGGATGCGGCCACATTCTTGGCCCATAAGAATCAAATTACGGCTCGCACCTCTATGCGAGACCCCTTTTCTAGATGTCGTGCCATTACTGTCGTTCTTAAGTGTCTGTGTACTGACGCTACTTACTCGTAGAACCGCTGTAGGAAAACTAGCGCCATCTGTTAACCACCCTGGGTGGAAATATTCGCTCCACAATTATTACATTTCAAATGCTTCTGCTTGTAAACTTTTTTTGGGATCAACCTACGTATATAGCTAACTTCGAGTGCTTCCAACTTTCCTGGCATTGGCTTGAAAAAGCAAATCTTTTGTGAAAACAATGTTTATAACTAATCTAACGTATCTTATTACCTGCACACAAGCTGAACAAATAAATACAAATGGAACAAAATTATTTGATATTATCTGCAAAATACTTTCAACAACTGAATAGTATCAGCTGTACAGTTACAATTAAAAATTACAATACTGCTCTGCTACTGAAAGCCCTGCTGCTAAATTCAGATACTAATAATTCCAGCCAGACTACACATTTAAAAGAATACATATACATATATATATATATATAAAAAAAAAAAAAAAAACCCACTGAAAACTATTAGATTTTACATTACGTCCAAAGAGGTTTTTCTTTTCTTTTCTTTTCTTTTTTTTTTTTTTAACGCTTTGTGTGTTAACTTTATTTATTAAATATCAAGTTCTTTGCACTTAAATCATAAAATTCAGTTGAACAGCAAAATTGCAAAATAATTTTAAAATGAGCATGTTTTTAGAATTTCCAATAAACAGTCGAAATCATTGAGTTTGTAATTAAGTATTCATTAAAGTGTTACAAAATATGAAATCGATAATAAAACAAATTTCAGATTCGGGCTTCCAGATGCCCATATTCGGGGCTAGATGTACATTATTTAAAATTTGATGGCTCTAGGTACCGTTGTTTTATCACAATGCGAGAAACATACATACAATTAATGCAGATTCTTCATTAATTCATTTCTTTAAATATAATACAGGGCTCTGATATTTGGTGGCAACAATTTAAAAATAGAATCAACATTTACAGTGAATCAATGCAAAATGCCAAAAAGAAATTAATAGTGCTTCTGGGCAAATTGACCCTTTGGACTAATAATATTTAAATATATCTATAATTAAATGTAAAACCCTAGTAATGTTATTCAGAAATACATCTTATATGAAAATAATCAAATATTTTTGCCCTAATTAGAATTCTTAAAAGACTTTTTAATAATACATATCTTCCCCCAACTTACAAAGCATGATTTAGGAATTTTCACTTTACTCACATAACCTACAACTTTTTCTCTGAATTCAGAAAACTTCTTGGCTTTTATAAATAAATATTATATTCCTTGGTTAAGGTATATGGTCACATTTTAATTGAAATTATGCAACAGTCAAAGTCAGAAAACGAGACGGTAAAAGTACAAATTAAGATCAAATTTTAGTTTTTAACTACCTATGAAACTAAGAACTGCAGTAGTAAATACTTTCTTTGAAGTACTTTTCACAAAACAATTATGTAATCTTTTATTTTCATATGTACTATACATATATATGTAAGAAAAATATGAAAATCAGCTTTACAATTTAATTTGGTAATAGTCTCATAATTCCTCATTTTTAATTTGGGTATTTCGTCTCTCTGTTCTAAAAATAATAACATTTCTGGATTGCACCATTTCTAGATTAATTTATGCCACAGAGCTTGTCTAACGCTGATGATGCATTTCGGAACCTTAACTATGATAACTTTCTCTGAACAGGCTGCCATATTGGATAAATATGCACTTTTAACTTCACTCTCTGTGCTGCTTGGATGTAGTTTCGCTGTGCTCTCTTTCTATCGCCAATAGTATTAAAAAATGTAAATGATCTGGAAATAGGCACAATCGGAGTGCCAAGTGAATTGTGGTTACAAATGTCAGTTTAATAAAAAATGGAATTTAATTCACCAACTGCCAAGTTTCTTTGTCATTACGAATTTTACATTTTAAAAGATTCTATGCAATCAGAATACTTCCTCTTCAATATGCCATCTATGTGCTTTCCAATTAATATATCTGCATCTCAGTAATCCTACATCAGTCCTTCTAAATTTGTTCTCATTACATATATATATGTGGGAATTATCACTGCCTGATGCTGAATTAGAATACCAGGATTATGACGTCATCGCCGCTCAGCGCAGTAAGAATCATCCGAGACAGCGTCTAGACGTGGACGTGAGCAGACGGCTCTCTCCTCTTCAAGAGTTAAAGAAGACAGACGGTCTTCTTGTTCTTCTTTTGATTTTCGCCTTCAGCTGTGATGACTTTAGATGATCATACTATTTAAAACTAGCTGGAATTAATATATCCTATCAATGCCGGAGGAACTCTATGTGAAAGGACTGTCTGTGATTGTGCATCATTACATGAACCATTCAACATTTAAACTTTACTTAATTTATCATTATTACCCTTTTATTTTTTATTGTTAAATAAACGCATATGTACAATGCCAAGATAGTGAGTGCTCTCATGATCTGATTTAAAAGAGAATTCCACAGAACATGGTGACCATCCGTGCGGCCTCGAACTCTAAAGTGTACGAGTAGTAGAACTGTGCTTTGAACTGACTGAGTGAACTGTTCTCACAAGTTATTCGATTTATTGGATTACTCGTATAAAGTGTGGATTGCCCTATTGACGATGATTATGTGTCGGGTGAGTACAAGACTTTCTTTCCAATATGAAGATAGTAAAAATTCCAGAATTGGAAGCAGCTTTAAAGAACAGTAAAAGTTCTGAAATCAAAAGTTTGCATAAGCTTATTTTTAATACTGATGGAGATTGAAATAATCGGAAAAGATTACGTGAATTTTCTGGCTTTATATTTAAACCAGATTCTGAAGAATT